CCCAAAGACTGGCTTATTACCTTTTCCCTTAAATAAGTATTTCTTTATATTGTAACTCAGATTATGACCTCACTTTCTGTTGTGTTGAGGGGAGTGTGTGGTTCTGCAGAGCTCATTGTTCCCATTTTAATAATGTATACCTGCATTCATAATCTTGCAGAGCTATATATATTTGGTTATGTCTCTGTACATATATATATTTATATATGTCCCTATTAGTTAAACAAGAGTATTCTTCCCAGCTCTTATTCACAGGATAGACATACTTCTGTAGAGCACAAAGAGTTTAACATTATGCATATGATGCGTTCTCTGCTTTAACAAAGTTTGTACTCTATATTTTAGAGGTCATGTACATGTTTTTTAATGTGAGAATTTTATAAAATATTACAAAACAAGGCTTCTCTTACTGTGATCATTAGACAACCCTTCCACTGTCAGTAGCACTGCCACTAGTATCGGCCAGAGGGTGAAGCGTATGGCCATTCTCAGATGCAGCAACCCTACCAGTGGGAATGTTACAGGAGCAAGACACTTCAGCTAATAATTGAACTATAATATCCTGTTCTTCAGCATGGTGTCCATGTATCCAATCTCTACCACTGTTGTTTATATGGTGCTCAGGCTGCTTTCAGAAAAAGTAAAAATGTATATCGATTTAACAATACTGAAATGGCTATAGGTGAAGATACAGGGGAATAAAAACGTAAAGGGATTGAAAATTGTTTTCTAATAGCAGAATGGTGGCTTTTCTAGTCTTCTAAAATCTTAAAATGGCTTCAAAATAATGACATTTCAATTAGACATTAAATAGAAGGACTTTATGATAGGTGTGGAGCTCCTCTGCATTAGACAATTACTTGCTTGACTTTAATGTACCATGATGAATTTTCTTAAAAGTAAAATAAAAGTGAAATTAAACAAGATGAGGCCATGAATTAGACATGCAGAAAAAGAGGTAGTTGTTGGAATACTTAGTTTTCATTTGTGCTGATTTATCTGAGTTTTTGCATTGCTTTGGAAGCCAAGCCTTCAGTTATGTACAGGAGAAGTAGTTGGAACTCAAAGTAGTGGTGTGTGGAGAAAATGAACAAATAGGCTCAAGGATGGACACAGAAGTGCTAGAGCTGTGCACAGGAATCTTTACATAAGCAAGCTCATTAGAACACGCACACTGAAAAGTTTTACCATTGAGATGCATGCATCTTCAATGACCACAGTTCATGCACCTCCACTAATGCAAAGTGATCTCTTTCAGAATTCATCTTCTAGATGGTCAATGACCCCCAGAAAGAGTTTAGTTTTTGTGTTTTCTGCCATGCCATAAGCACCCTTTTTGTTTTCTTATTCCGTTAATTGCCTTATGACTCTGAATGGCAGTGCTAATAGGTTTTTTTGGTTTTTTTGGTAGCCTTAGTGAGTGCACTGCAGTCCAACTCATCTGGAGATAATTTTAGTGAACTATCTAGCTTTTTTATGTCTCTGGCATACACAACTGAAAACATATGTTATGTCCTCAGAATGTGTAGGCCATAAGAGTTAACAAAATTGAAATCCACTTAAAGACTCTCCCTCTCCCTTTTCTGATCACCTTTCATCTTCCTGTGTCCCATCACCCCTTCCCTTCTCTTTCTCTACTTCCTTCTCGCATTCACTGTCAGGAAGGGCCGGCACCGAAGGGCCAGTTCAGCACAACACGACGCCGGCAGAGACTAGCAGCTGCAGTGGCTACAACAGTGAGTGGATTTAAAAATCAAGGGATAGCTCTAAAGATGGGAAGCTGTGTATCTTGAATGTGTAATAAGCTTATGAAAATGTTTCTTGCACTTTTTGGAGGTGTCCACACTACCCACTTGCAGCTGAATTTCTTAGAAGTGGTCAGGCCTGACACAAATGACTTCCATAAATGTGGGTCTGAGCTTCTTTACATGGTACATGTCCCTCCTCCTTTATGCAAGTGCAAGTGATGGTTAGACTCAGGCCCTGCGCTATTTGAACAAGTCTTTGACATACTGTGCTATACACAATACAAAATGGAAAGAAATGATCAAATTCTGTTAAAAGATTCTCGTGACAGTCTATAGCAAGACAGCAGAACCAAGGGGATTTGTTAGAAACAACTGTGGAATTATAAAATTCCCTGATTTTTTTTCCTTTTTCTTTTTTTTTTTTTTTTAAGTAGTATAAGGTTAGCCTTTTCATTTGAGACACTTTCTGTTTACATTCCATAATCCCAAAAAGTCATATTACTACCTCTAGTCTCTGTATTTAGTTTTGCTAATTCTCTAAGTCTTTGACGCAAAATCTGGAGCTATGAAATCAACACAGGGGCTGGGAATTGGGAGGGGAAACACTGTTTGTGAAATCAAATTAACATCAAAAGGATATCTTCAGCTGCTGCTTTGTCAGGAAAGTACTTATTAGGAATGCACAATATAGACATTAGTACTAATCTATCAACTGATTAGCACAACAGCTAGATAGGGAAGACTGTGCAGCCAAAGACTGAAGTGAGCTTTAAATGCATACCCCTAACCTAGCCCAAGCACTGAATGTCTTCGCCAGGCTAAAGTATGCCAGGGTCTGCTGCTCCAGCCCATAGCTAAAATCCCCTAGATGAGACATAGCTTCTGCTTAAGCCTGAATACCCTAAGCTCCTGCTACCTGAACCACAAAACTCAGTTACTGTTAGGCCCTCGTAAAAAGCTTGAGAGAAATTGGTGTTTCTCCTGTTCCCAAATTAACTAATCTAAATTTAATCCCCTGTAATCAGTTGATGCTGAATTCTGTGCTCAATAATTGATTGATACTCTGACCTCATTGGTCTGCCTGCCTAGTGGAGAAATCAACCCGCTTCTCGGTTTTTGTGGCTGAGCTGTATCAGTGGGAGGCTCTGACTGGTCAGTTCAGCAGTAGTTAAACAGTATTGGCAAGAGCTGTACCAAGGAGTGCTTCAGTGGAGCAAACACAGCTGGACGTAGATTGCAAGGCAGTAGGAGTCCAGGGAATTGCTGAGTTGTTACCTGCAGCTGAAGTGAGGACCTGTTGAGGGAGGTCTTGGAGGAGCTGGAAAAAGTGCAGGAGGAAGGAAAACTAGAGGAACCAAAATGACCCTGCAGCTCTTGCAGTGGTCACGGCAATGGCCTGTTCTTCCTGGCTGATGTAGCAAAGTGCTTGTCTCTCTGAGACAGTGAAGCTGTGTGTATAGACTGAAGGATACAGAACTACATCAGTTAAATGCACGGCAGAAACAGGAGGTTTTCCTTACAACCCACTCTACCAGGAACAGTCTGTTCCTACATGAACACATAATTCTGAAGAAGGTGATGGATAAGTGGGTGTTATACCCATGGCATAAAGCAGAAAGCCAGGACAAGGTACATCTGAGGACATGTCTAGAAGAGTGTGTGTATGGAGGAAACCAGAGTGATGCATCAAGAAGCTAAATATTTTCAAAAAAACCTCCAAAATGACAAAAAAAAAAAAAAGGGTAATAAAGTCAGAATCAAGTCACCATGGATATAGAAAGAAAGCACAGCAGTGAAAGGAAAAAAGGGGAAGAGAAGTACGTTGGCAGTGTTTCTTGGACTGTTGCCTAGTCAAGAGAATGAAAGTGTTCAATGTGGATTTTTTCATCTGTTGTGGAAAGTAGCTTGGAAACTTTTCTAAAAGATGCATATGAGGAGAGTTCATGCCAGTCAACAGTTCAGTATTTTTGGTTCTTGTATTTAAAGCAGTCGGCAAAGCAGCTACTTGTCTCTGTCATGTGAATGTATATTTCTTGCAAGCAGTGTGACAGCATTTGTAGAATATGTAAATACTGTTTGTAGGACATACTTTAAAATGTTATTTTTCCAGTAAACCTCACTGCAGAAGCATTGCTTTTCAGCCTGGCCAGCTGACGTATGAGGCAGAAATGATGGATCTAAAGCAGGTGTCTTCAGCTAGGTTCATCACAAAGTGACTAAAGAGCACCCCTGATGTGTGGGCAGCCTGCCTGCAGCTCTGCCAGTCTCTGTGGGGCTGGGACAACCTGCCCCATCACCACAGGCACGAGGGCTGCGGGAAGGGAACTCTCCCTCAAGCTTCTGCATTATAGCTGGGGTCAGCTTTCTTTCCTGCCTTCTGGATGAGCTTGAGGCTTGGGTATGTGCTCCCTGCACACACAGCTATCGTGTAGCCACCCGCTTTGCCCTCCTGGAGCCACCTGGAGCAACTGAACCTTTGTGGTGCTCCCAGTCCGAATGTTCTGGGAACATGCTTTCTGATTTAAGAAGTGAAAAGGTCTTGTAAAGGAAACTTGAAATCAACCTACGTTTAGTCACATTAGTCAATTAACCTAGTTTTGTTGGGCTGTTGAGAGAGGCAGTCTGGTACTCGTGAAGAAGATAATGGGGTAAATATCCAGTATGAATGGAAGGAATTTATTCTACATCTTCTGTTAATGAAATCTTCTTGATATGAGACTAAAATGAGGTCCAACAAAAAATACCTACTTTGTTGATATAGCTGGAAATCAAAATACACAAGAGAACAAAGTTTATACTGGATAGGTACCATAGAACTATTATTTTATGTGTTATATGTATCTGGAAATTGAGGAAGAGCAGGGTAGAAAATGGTATTTTGCAGAATATGCTCATGAGTGGAATGAGATGTGATGAATAGATCCAACAGGATTTTGGGGATTTCGTTGGAGAATCACAAACCTAAAACATATATTGATGACAACTTTTATAGGAAGGGATTGATAAAACCATTCCCTGATCTAATCAAATAACAAGGTACTCATTTCAAATACTGACAGTAGTAGAGAACTTAACCTGTTGATAAAAAAAATCTTAGTAATATGACTTTTTATGTTATCTGCTGCTCTTTATCATGCCTCAAAAGACACATTTTATATTTTGGCCCCATTTTTCACATTTGAATAATTACTTTGGGCTGCAGTGTGGAAATTCTTGATTTATACATTTGATCAATAAAATAAATTAGATTTAATGTGTTCAATGTATTTAACAGTGCTTAATATTTAAGTAACGCAAATGTAGTTCTGTATGCCTTTCCTTTGCATTTAAATTTGAAAATTGGGTTCTTGACCTGATTTTTATACAAATGTGTGTAAATGGTAAAATTAAAATAAAATACAACATGTGCTCACACATACACATCACATATATAACAGTGGTAGCCATACACTGCATATGTAGCATATAGGTAACTGCTCAATATATATGATACATGTGTATATAACTTATAAAGGTTTGCATATGTATTTTTATCATTGTACCTGAAAAGTATAGAAGGAGAAAGAGAAGTGGAAATGATAATAAGCAAAATTCTTTGCTCCATCTTACTAAATGTATCTCTCTGCTTTTTTTTTGTGGTTCACGTACTTTAAATGAAAATCAGGTGGAGTTTTGATTTTTTTTGGTTGCTTATTTGTTTAATTAGAAAGAATATAGAAAGACTGTGTGCTTTTTCCCTCTTCATAGTTGCCAGTACAGTGAGTTTCAACTCAAGATTTACCAGTAGTTTTGAAAAACTTCAATGATATATTTGATAATATTATATCCTATTTCTAGATCTGTGTAGGAACTTGCATACTTCAAATGTTGATATTGTAATAACAGAGTCATACTACATGTACTCTTAAATGTCCCAATACAAAGCAGCATGTGTCATGGTTTAATTTTCCAGTCATCTTTTAAGCATTAGGATATGGTCCATTTTTGTAAATGTTAGGCTTAAAATGCTCCATCGTTAGGTGTTAGCCATGTATTTAGGCCTTCTTTTGTCTGTTTCAGTGAAAAATTTCAAGAGAATTCTGCATCAGCTATGCTGAGGTTTAGGAGCGTAAAAAGTTACATGTTCTCTCTTACCATGTTCTTCACATTGTGGATGAAGTCTTTTGTTTTCAAAAGAAATTAGTATTTTGCTTCAACAGAGTCAAAAGGTTGGTTGCACCTTGTACAATATTTTTTCACTGTTTCTTGCTGTAGGTCCCTTTCAGTGCTACAATGTCACCCGTTCGACTGCATTCATCCAATCCCAACCTTTGTGCAGACATCGAGTTTCAGACTCCCCCAAGCCATGTAACGGACCCTCTGGAGTGCTCTACTGAGTACATGAAGCTTCAAGAAGAATTCTGTCTGATGGCACAAAAAGGTAACTGGAAATGTCAAGCCTTTCCATTACTGTGCTTCTCTGTTGTGTGTGTTTATTGCCTTCACTTAGTTATGGCCAGAGTGTTCATTTGCATTAGATTATATTGTATAAGAATTTTTAGCTGGTCAGATAGGTGGCTTGCATAAAGACTACATGTATTATCCTTCTTACATTTTGCATAGGTGCTGTGAATATAGAGATAGGTAAACTCTGTCTGGTAAGAGGTTTTTTTTAGAACTTCTGAGCTACTTTCTGTATCTTTTAAATATGTGACTGAATTTGCAAACATTTTGTTTCTTAATAAAATGTTTTAATTGTCCCCAAAGATGAGTCAGAATGTCACTGCTACGTATAATGTTGTGCAATTCATTTTTGTGCAATGTTTTCTATATCAGTGGCAACAACAGAAGAAGAGCTTTTTACTAGAATGTACTTTAGAAATGCCATTTTGTTGCCAATAAATGAATGGTCCTACAGACCAAAAAATACTGGTTTTAAAAGGTTTCGTTATCAGTTTGCTATCTGTTATATAACAAATACAGGGAAAACGTGAGACTGGTATCTTACAAAATGTCAAAAACCTGTTTAAAGACCAAGTAATCCTCTTTATTAGTGCTATATTAAGTCTTAGCAGAACTGATTTTTTTGTTACTTTGGAAAGAAAAATAAAAAAACAGAAGGAAAAGAACACACACTGGACACAGGTTTTCCAGATATGCACCTTTCCATACATTCAGCACCAAGAATATGCTCAGGTGACATATGTGTGAACACATACGTGTGCATATTACAGCCTCAAGCTGTAAGTGTTTGTACTTAATTTGGCATGGATTACTTCAAGTTTAGATCCTTGTTTGAAATTTCTGTAACTGTGGGATGGAAATCTCACTCTCTTTATTGCTGAAATATTGTAATAGATGTCAATGTGCAGTTCTGTAGCTGAGAAAACACTTGTTTTCTTTTTTTCTTTTTGCTTAGTGCATTCTCTTTTGAAGTCTGCATTTAACAGCATAGCTATAGAGAAGGAGAAGCTTAAGCAGATTGTTTCAGAGCAGGATCTTACAGGCCACAATGCTCAAATAGCACACCTCAGACAGTCCCTCTCTCAGGTATGTTCTTGATTTGATTTCAAGCACATCTAGCTTGCCAGATGCACTATTTCTGTTGTATTTTGGCCATTTCCTGGGGTAAAATGAGCCAAGAAAAAGCCAAGTTCTTGACCAGAACTACGACATATGTTCTAACATAGGTATAACCTCAGTGCATGTGGAGGTGAAGGATATAATTTGTTTTTGTAAGCATGTATCTGTTGTGGTTTTCCAAAGTAGAGAAGAAGGATCAAATGTTTTTATACAAATGCTAGGTATCATTCTTGGAGCTGTTTCGAGCACGGCCAAGGAGATATTATTTTCTTAAGTTTTAAATTTTCACTGTATATTTTCAGATTTGTTTTATGTGTCCATGTGTCTAACTGCAAAAGGAATCATGGGTTACAGGATAGTAATGCATGCAGGCATAAATAAATAAATAAATAAATGGGATTTTCAGATACACACCTGTTACTGTCCAGCATCTCTCCCACTTAAGCCAAAGGAAAAATTGTCATTGGCTTTAGTGGGGAAGAAGAGGTAAAACGACAGTAAGTTCTCAGGTTGCAAAATAACTCGAATTTTTTTAATTCATTGTCAAGGAAATGTAAAAGCTTTTACTCTGAAGAATGGATTGGTGTGGAGTAATGTATCTGCAAGAAATGTGAGCAGAGGTTTAAAAGGCAAACAGAACTTCACCAAATGTGTATAAAATTTCATACACTGTTACTGTTATTGGATTGGAGGTTTTTGCTATAACATTAAAAATGACGCACAATGTTTCTGTAGATACAGATGCATATTATGTTATGCAGGTTGATTACTGTGTGTTGTAATAAAGAAAGGTTAAGGACAAGAGATAAGGGTAACCATTTCTGGTTATTGATACTAATTTAACGAAGACCTGTGGGGACTTACTAGCAACTTGTATGAAATAGGTTTTCTTCTTGTTCCTGGCCTCCAGTGTCAGTCTAAAAGTCACTGCCACACATTAGTTCACAGTCTCAATGGGGAATAAGTGGAAATCTGGCCTTAGTCAGATATCCAGGTTTGACCAGTCTCATGACCAGGTTTGAACAGTTTAAGAAGCTAGTGCCAGGCTGCTGTTAGTCGTCACCTTCCCTTCCTGGTAGATAGCAACTGTGAACATGCCCAGACCGTTTCAGAACAAAGCAAAATGGGGTAATTTAAACTGTTCAGTGATGGTTTAAGCTAACCTATTTTACTTTGGTCCTACTTTGTTTCAGTACATTCATGCAGTCTATTCCTGAGTTTGCACTAGGGGGAGGCAGAAGAAAGTTCTTACTCCACTATAACAGTCATTTTCTACTAAAACAGTATGTCTGTCTGTTGTTCTTTTCTATAATCCTCAGTGCTGGGGATATATTAGTGTTAAGTCAGTTCATGTTATAGGTATGTAACATATTCTACTTTTTCTGGATTTCGGAATCTTGCACATGAGTCTTTCTGGATAACAGACAGTATGTATATATGCACCCAAATTTATAATCTAGATTGGGCTTTAAAAAAGAAGAAAACTTAAAAAAGCAGATACCAGACACCAGTTGAATTCTATTGATATTTGTGACACTCTAATGGATCAGTAATTTGAAATGAGTACACACATGCAAATATATCAAATTGATCTGGACGGGCAAACACCCAATGATACTAGCAATTATGTTGTTTTGGCTGGAAAGGAAGCAATTTCCTTTTGCAGGCTCTAAGTGTGAATAACCTTGGTTCAGAAAGGGCTGTATAGTTGTAAACCAAGAATTGCCTCTTTGGGCATTTTGCGAGTAGTTCCTGTTTGTTGTTCTGCAGTTTCATTCTTTCTTGCTGCATTCACTCCCCATTTCCATAATGTACATAACCCACCGGTATACCTGCCCAAGATCTATCTGAAGAATTAAGGTAGAATGCCACTGTTACATTGTGGGAGAATATCTGTCCCCTCTGCCTCCTGAAAATCACTGAAGGCAAACCGACCAAAAGATTAAAACATGTTGAAGAGGATCTCAAAATAGGTATCTGTCTAAAAATGGAAGAAAGGAGGTTCTGTGATTTCTTAGGAAATTGCTGGGAAGAAGCTAGCTTTTTTTTTTTTTTCTTTTCCTGTTTAACGCTTACTTTTTAATTTTAAATGAAATGTGCAATTTTTATTTTAAGGCTCTCAACCAGAATGCTGAACTAAGGAGTCGCTTGAACAGAATACATTCAGAATCTGTTATTTGTGATCAGGTTGTCAGTGTAAATATTATCCCTAGTCCTGATGAGGTAAGACTTTGGCCTTTAATGGATTTAGAGTACAATCAAACCTTGCTAATTCTCACTAATAGCTGAAACCCACATGGCAAATTATAGAATTTTTCAGATTGGCAACTGTTCATTTATAGAAAAAGTCAGATTATATTTTCCTTGCATAAAATAAAATTTCTGTCTTTTATTTTGTATATGTCAGATCTCATGAAAGAACTCAGTTTGGGCTCTGCAGAGAAACAGGGAAGGATTCCAGTTTTGGAATATTAATTGTTGGCTGTGGGAATTAGTGACGTTTTACTGTATTTGAATGTGACACACAGTAGCTAACCAGTTCTGTATCTTCGTTTCTTGCCAAATCAATAGAACAGTTTAGTATTTAATGGCCTGATCCTGCAAGTGCTTAAAGGGCCTGATGTTTAATATCTTGAGTGGCACTGCTGAAATCAAAAGGTTCAGTCTATGAACCAAGTATTGTACTAGTATCATGTTTGCAACGTCTAGTCTTTCTTGTTCTGCTTTCCTCAGTCAAGAGATTACTGAACATATTTATTAATAACAAGTCAGCTTCCCTCAGGAGAAGGACAAATCTGAATTTGCAAACTGTAATATGTTACAATTAACATGGTCACTTTGACAACCATTCTGCTTGCATTTTACCAAAATATTTTTCATTTGTCATTTCCACTAATATTTTTCTGTGCCTATGCCATTTCAATTAACATACTCTTGTCTCCTAATTATTTCTTCCAACAAGAAAGGAAGTTGAAAATATGCTTCCAATTACTTTTGTTTATCTGCTTTTGGAAAATGTATTTGAAAAACAATTTTTCCAAGAGTCCAGCATGTTGGAGACTAACAATAGAAGACAGAGGTGAAGCGGTGCCACAGGACAGCAATCTGCAGTGAAGTTCTGAGCAATGACCATCTCTTCTGTTTTGTATATTTTTTTGGTTAGCTGTTTCTTTTTCATATGTACATTGTTATCTTGATACAAGTGTGTCTGGCTGAGGGAGTTCTTCAAAGAGGATCCCAGATCTCTAATTCCCTTCTTCTCTTGATTGCTTTATATATATAATTTTGCAGTGTGTAGATAATGCCTGTGTGAGCATCTTTTTCAGGTAGGGGCATGTGTCTTTTTCAAAGCCCCCTCTAGCTTATACAAAAACTTAAAATTTTAATAACTTCCTGTAAAGGTAACAGTGAAATGAGCTTCTATTTCCATTATGATTCATCAAACATCATAAACCATGTACAAGCTTATAAGCCCCAGTGAAAAAGGAATGGGTTTTGCCCTCTTGGCTTGTTTATGTGGTTTGGTTTTGGTTTTTTTTTTGTTAGTGCATTTTGAAGCAACTATATAGAATAATTCTACAGGATTAAGATGCCAACAAAACCATTTGCAGGACTTCTGTACTAAGATTAATGGAGATGGAGTTGCAGGAAGATGTGTTTAGAAGGACTTCAGTAGTTTCATCTGTATTATCTCCCAGAAGCAACATGCTGTATAAATTAAGGGAATAAGTCAGAAGCCCGTTTCCTTCCACAGCAGCAGCTCTTTTGGTGGAATGGCACAGGGAGAGAATCTTAAGTTTTTTCTCCCCTTCTTAAAGTGATAGCCTGTAGGGTAACATGTTGAAACCTGGTGTTCCTCCCATCAATAGCAGGAAGAGGAAGATATGTTCCACTATTTAAATTAGCTTGCCCCCCTACTGATATACACATAACACAATTCTGAACCCTTGCCTTTGTTGTTAAATTCTCTTTATAATAAATCATAGAGAGCTCATTCTCTTTAGTAGTATTGAGTCAGTGTTAATGGCATAATTCAAATGAGATTTGGAGTACAAACATGGAATAAAAGCACATAAATATATGTTATAGCCATCTTCCTGAATATTCAAACATTTCAAACATTTGTTACTAAACTGGTTCACAAGCGTATTTATTTTGAAAGTAACTTATAACTCCCTGAGCTTATAAAGCTTTATGTTTGAGTTTTGGTTGTATCAATGCTAGCTCCCAGTGATGTAACTTGTTATGACCAGGTGTCTTTTCATCTGAATGTCATATTTGAGCTTGTCTGACATAATCCAGCTATTGTCCACAAAATCATTCCTCTGGATACAGAACTAGATCTGTAATTATTCGTGCTGCTAAAACTTAGCAGTTGATGCTGAGCAGGCCTCAAATCAAGACATGTATCTCAGTGCTCAAAATGCACTTTATGTTTGAATTGTCAAAGTCTCATCTGTTAGATACACACAAAGCCCTACTAAAATGCTGTCTTTACTATCTGTGCTTATATTTGGCATAGAAGAATTATTATTCTGGTGATTTACCCCTTCTATGCATATTTTTTTTATATTAGAAATAATACTTTTATTTTTCTGTGCTTTATTTACAGATGGGTGAACAAATCCATGTCAGTTTGCCACTGTCTCAGCAAGTTTCTAATGAGAGCAGGCTCTCTATGTCTGAATCTGTTTCAGAGTTCTTTGATGCACAGGAAGTGCTTCTATCTGCCAGCTCGTCAGAAAACGAGGTAGGCTATGACAGCATGCTGCAGCTTTGCTGTTGGACAGATTTAGGTATTGCTACCACTAGTGAATGATTTTTTTTTTTTTTTTTTTTTTAAAAGAATGCTACTTAGAATAAAAAGGTATTGGAATGTGCAAGGTGTAGATAAATGAACCTGAGACTCCCTTGTGATGGGGTGCAGAAGGTCCTTGAAGTGTAAAACGGAGCTGAAAGTTGTTTGTATCAGTAGCTTATGTTCAATACATGTCCTTGCTAGACTCTGGCGGTTTCACATAAGGATGACATAGACAGGGACAATTATGTCTGACTATGCAGTCAACTAATTTAGAATTTAAAATATTATTTAAAAAAAAAAAGTCTTCTATTATATCTATAAAGTTACTCTCTGTAATCAGAGAAATAGACAAAAGCCTGAAAAATTGGCTCACTCAAGCTCAAAGTTGAAGTAGTCAGATACATTTCAGGCTCCTGAATCATGTTGCTGTCCACAGCTTTCCTGTGCTATTCTGAATAAAGTCTTCAATTGTAAAAAATTATTTATTTTTTTAAAATACCTTTTTATAAAGCCACAGTAGTGCTGTGGTCTACCACAACTCTTCTGTAGGAGAAAATGAGAGCGTGCTACCATATTTTCTCTTTGACAAGGATTGCTCATGTGCCATGAGTTGGCACAACCATGGCTAAAGTTGTTCATCTAAAGAATGGAATGATTCCTTATCTTATTGCTTCCGGCAGGCATAAAGCACATGTTATCTCAATAGTCTCAATTATGGAAAATTGGTGTGTCTGTATGGTATGAACAAAATGGAAACTTTACAAAATCACCCCCAAATGGTATAGGCCTTATAATAAATACTCTGTCATTAGTAAATACTGTAAAATATTTTGAAAGTAATATTTCTGAAAATAAATACTTTTTGTTAAAAGAAATTCTTAAAAATAATGTTAATACTGATGTAGTTCTTGTTTTGCAAAATGATAGGTCAATGTTTATATAATTTTTTGCTGAAACACAAGCTGCATTTTATTGTTTGGCTCTTTATAAAAAGCACAAATCTGACTACCTCTTCTCGCCTCCTATCCCCAGTGTGTTACATTGTCAATTTTTTGTTCATCTCTGATCTCATTTGAAGTCACCCTTTTGCAAATTTAATGTCTGTATTTGGCTTCACAATAAGGAATTCAGAAACATAAGGAGAGCCTAGCATTTGATTTGACACTTCTAGTGCATTGGCAGTATGGGCTGATCGAAACTTCCAGTTGATTTAGTTAAAAGCTCCAACTGAGTAGAGATGATTTATTCGAATATTTGTGTTTCAGTTAATTGTTTTTGTCTAATTTGTCAGTATATTTTATATTTGTATTTGTATTTATATTTATATTTGTATTTGACTTAATTGATATTTTATTTATGTTTTAGGCTTCTGATGATGAATCTTATATCAGTGATGTGAGTGATAATATATCTGAGGACAACACCAGTGTTGCAGACAACATTTCTCGGCAAAGTATACTGCTATGTTTTAAACTTTGGGAAATTATGTTGGTTATGTTCATGTACCAGATGTACTGCATGTCTGTACAAGACCAACTCAGCTGAAATCAGTGAAGCTGGGCTTGCTTGTTCTGGTGGTGATTTGGTTCAATGGATAAGTCTGTTTTTCTTAATCTGGTCCTTTCTTATGATAATAGTTTTTTCTCTTCCCAGTTCTTAATGGTGAACTAACAGGAGGCGCATTCAGGAATGGACGGAGAACTTGTCTCCCAGCTCCCAGCCCTGACACCAGTAACATCAATTTGTGGAATATTTTGAGAAATAACATTGGCAAAGATCTTTCCAAAGTATCCATGCCAGTTGAGCTAAATGAACCTCTGAATACCTTGCAACATCTTTGTGAAGAGCTGGAATACAGTGAACTCTTGGACAAGGCTGCTGAAACAGATGATCCTTATGAACGCATGGTAATAACTTCAGTGTAGCACTTCTTATGTCTGTATTAAAAAGGGAGCTGTTGAGTGGAGGGCTATGCAGGGTCCTCTCTTGCTATTCCTGTTCACAGACACCACACCTCCCTGCTGGGTCAGATAAACACTGTGAACAATTACAGGTGGTAGGTTTGATCTGAACAAGGCTGAGGGACTTTTCTTTACTTCAAACCAAGTCCTGCAATTGTGACTCATTGATGTGAAGACTGATCTCACTCTCTAGGACTGTGTATGTAGGCATTGGCAGTTTCTAACCCTGCAGCATCCTTTCCTGGCTTTCAGTGATCAAGTCCAGCAGCCTCCAAGAGCTAATCAAGTCTGTGGCTGGCTTATGATCAATGTAGGTGTCAGTAAGATGTCATCCTAGGCAATTTCTAGTAGAGAAGTTCCAAAACATCAAAACAAAGTTTGCCTGGGCAGCCTGACTTCGGCTCCCCTGTAAGTATGTCTTGGTTTTTTAACTGACAGCCAACATCCTACGTTCAGCTCTCAGGGTGTTTTGATCTGTCATATCTCCTTTTCCTCAGAAGAAACAGGGAAGGGCTGTTAGGGGAAAGTTGGCAGTGTTGTTGCCAAACATATCTACTGTTCCCTGGTATGGGCTGGCAGCGCTGTGGATAACTGGGAGAAGAGAGGTTGCCTGTGGCTGTCATAGAGCCACACACTCAGGTCCATCAACTGCCATGTTCACATGGCCTTCAGGAGAGTGAGGGGTCCAAAACGCTGGTGTTTTTTCCTTGCCACTGGAGAAGTTGGACCTTTCTTACAATAGGGGGTTGAAATACTTATCATTACATGCTGTTTTCCTGCAAGACTTCATATGTCTCACAAAAGGGACATCCTCTAAGGACCGGGCAGCATTGTACTGAGTAAAGCATGCTGTTTGCCTGTAGGACTCTGCCTCCTTTGTTGAAAAGCTTGGAAGGTGAGTACTGAAGGAGTCAGGAAGGAAAAGCCACGGTGCAACCGAAAGCTTCCTTGGAAACGTGGATTCAATCCCCTTCTCTGCCTAGTGCAATACTAGGGATACAAGCCAAACTTTTAACAAGCACCTTGAAAATGCAAATTGCACACCCAAACTGAGGCATGCTATACTGCTTGGCAGAAGTGCTGAATATCCCAAGCATCAGTGGTAGCAGTGCTGTGAATATGTTACCTGTTTCTTCACCGTTCTCTGAAAAATCAGAACTTTGCTGTCTTAAATAAGCATCCAAAAGTAGTGGAAACTTTTTTCTTCTCATTGCTCTATGTATCACAAGGATAGTAAAACCCCTCATTTCTCTGTAGTGTCTTATAACTAAATTAATGAAAAAGGTTTTGGAAGAATGAAGGTTTTTACTGTTGAAGAAAAGCCCGTGAAAAGAGTGTTAATTCTGTTCATGCTGCATTTATGAATGATATGAAATGAATAGAGAATGGAGCACCCATTGCACAGTGGGAAGAAAACAAAGCATGTAAAGGCTCACACGAGTGTTACGTCCTCGCTAGCATGAGGAGAGGGGGACCGGGTTAAGGTTTGCCCCACTTTTAGCAGGTTGTTCATAGCTGAGTGCTTTTTATCCCCGTATTGCTTTTCTGAAGTTTTGTTTGGACTTCTGAGTGCCTGTTGTGATTTTTTTAAACTCTGCTAAAGGGAGCTGTAATCTAAATTGCTGTGGCATGTCACTTACCTTATTACTCCCAGGTGGGCCTGGTTTAGAGATTACTAAATCTTGGTTGTACATGTAGACAAAGGGGCTAAGGCCACACATGCGTGGAAGATCCTGAGATAACTCTGCATTAAGGACATCCTAAGCGAGAGCCGTTTATGTTTGGCACTAAATAAAACAGTTCCCATAGGAAAATGGTATGTGATTTTGTCGTTAGAAGTTATTGTATAATGTTTATACACAGGCAGCACAGACCAGAGCTGGGTCTGTGGTTTAGCTCATTAGTGATATGCCTGGTCAAAGGTAGAAAAACAGTATCTTGTGCAGACTGTTATTTTAGGGGACTGTTGAAAGAGACTGACTGAGGCCATGAAGAAAAACAAATTATATCAACAAAAGAAATGCAGCTTATACTGGTTCTAGCTGGGATGTATGGCTTCACTCTTAGGCATGTTTCATCAATCCAGATTTCACTCTGAGTGGAGTGAGTTGTGTGATACCACATAGTGGTGGCACATACATGAGAATCTCTGCCTAGTCTCACTTACGTTCTTGTCTGTATTTTCACAGGTTCTCATAGCTGCTTTTGCAGCATCAGGCTATGCCTCTACATACTTTAGAGCAGGAAGCAAGCCATTTAACCCAGTGCTTGGTGAAACTTATGAGTGTATTAGAGAAGACAAAGGATTTCGATTTTTCTCAGAGCAGGTAAAGCTTGTTTCTGGATAGACCTGTTTAGATTTCAATTTTGGTTTCTTTATTTTATAGAGTAATCTTGTTTTTTCCTTCTAGTTAGAATAGTTTGCTTTCTTAGTAGTAAAGAAAGGTTGTCAGTATGAGTGAACTTTGTTTAATGCTAGAAGGTGTATATTTTTATAGTAATCACAAGGAAGTTTTTAACTACAAACTTAAGTTTCATCTGTTTTCATAGTAACATAGGCTAATAAATAGTGTGGGCTATTAGTGTTTTCATATTACAGTAACAATTGTATTGTGTTAGAAATGAAAATGAATTGGTTTTAACTTAGCCAAACTGTTTTCCAGGTTAGCCACCATCCTCCCATTTCGGCCTGTCACTGTGAATCGAAGAACTTTGTGTTTTGGCAAGGTATACTTTTTTAATTCAAAAGCATAAAATCCTTTTTTATTAGCAAGTAAAAACATTGCCTGTACAAGCTGAGCTTTGCATTTGGAACTTACTCAAAAATTCTGTAATTATTTTTGTAGTAACATATTACAAACTGATGCTCTGAATTATTTCACTCCAAATTCTCATTCTTAAGAGTGAGCGGACGTGTTATGACTTCCCTTGTCACTTGTAGTCTGTTTATACTTTTCTGCCTAAAAGCTTTTTACCAAGAAAATTGTGATTTCTTACAAACACAAGTAGTTCTTTTTACACAGTTGAACAAGCAGCTCTTTCTTTCCTTGTATCTACTGGCATATGCATTTAATTTGTATTGAACGCTTGCCTGAGAGATTTGACAATAAAGTAGCACAGGCATGACTCCTAGAAGAAAATCACACTTATCTTTAGTTTTTCTAACCTAATGTCATTTTCTAGTATTTTTTTTTTTCTTTTGTATTTTCATGGCAACCTCATACTGTTTTAAACCAGGTGGTCTAGCATAGATCAACTTGTGTGCCACGCAGATCACTGCTAGGGGGAGACTTTGGTCTTTTCAGTTTTGCAAATCTTTCACAATTATATTCAGATATCAGGTGGAAAAACAAATTCTGGGGGAAATCAATGGAAATTCTGCCAGTTGGAACCTTGAATGTGACTCTTCCAAAGTAAGCTACTGTCCTATTTCATTTTGTTTTCAGTCTTTGCTGCAATCTAATCTGTGCTGCCTTGTGAATGGATTGGGGGAAGTGTATGCAGACATCACATGAATTGTACTGGTTAGTTGTACTGGCACTGTTAGTGCCTAGTTCAAATTTCTCCTTAGTGTACAGGTGGGGATACTGAAGCATTTTTAAGCCTGAAGATCCATTTGGGTTTTTGGAGGAAAAATATACAAACTCTCTAGAAAGCAAGAGACAAAGGGGGATAGAAATGTTTTAGGAGAGAGCGCCTAAGTTTTACATGTACAGCAGTGATCAACGTTCAGAACAAGGCTGCAATATAGGACTGTCAGCAGCTAGTGCTGTCCTTACTAAGGCTCTCAATACTGCTAAGTGTTCCCTCAGAACAATCACTAGTAACAATGTAAGGTCATTTTTCAAAATGCAGATAAGCCAAAACATGTTCTTCAAATGTTGACAGAGTAGAGAGAAGAAGTTGTTTCACCACAGGTAAGATGACTTGCAAGTTGTAAATCCTGAGAATATGCAAGGAGAGGATACTTTAAACATGTTTGCTGGTTTTGCAGTACTGTTCCTGCTCCTGTATATTGCAGCAAGCCTTTCTTTCTTCCTCTAACAGTATGGCATCACTCCACTCTAACCTCTTTATCCATCTCATGAAATTGAAGTAAATACACTCAGGAGCATCTTTGTCTTCTGTCTTCATGCTTGCCCCTCAGCTCTGAAGGAGGAGAATGTGCTTTGTGCAATATGATTCCCTCATTTTATTCCCTTGTTTGACAATAGAGATGCTCTTGACTCTGAGTAGTTGTTACAGAGGGAAAGGGATGATGTGCCAGTGAGCTCCTGCTTCCTACTTTCTTTCTGTTATCTCCTTTCCATATTTATTTTGTTCTATTTGTAATCTAATTACATTGCTTATAGCCTCAATTCAGCCTTATGTTGATCTTTGGGTGACTGTCCTGCCCATAAAGAAATAGTGGCCAAAGCACATAATGCTCTGAGGACAGTCAATATGTTGTGCAGGGCTTCGGTGGTTCATAATGTCTTGATTTGTGGTCCATAGCACCATTCTTCAGTTCTCTGCACTAGAGTTTAGCTGAGCCCTTCTATGGAAGACTAGTAATGTACCCAGACCCAGTGCTTTAATAAAGTAAGCTGTTGTTTGAAAAGTTTTTGAGGAATATGGTCTTGTATTTATGCTAATGGAGCGATGTTTTACTTTTTTGTCCATAATGATCATGTTTAATATATGTTACCAACTACTTGTTAATCTGTTCTTAGGTATGGAGACTACTATGTCTGGAACAAAGTCACTACTTGCATACATAATATTCTTAGTGGAAGGAGGTGGATAGAACACTATGGAGAGATAACTATCAGAAACACAAAAAGCAGTATTTGTATTTGTAAACTCACATTTGTCAAGGTAACATATGTATTCTAATATATAGCATATATTCATAAAACTGCATAGTTTAAGCATAATTCAAGCTGTTTCTTCAGTATTCCCAAAATCCACATTCTACATTTTGTCTTATCAACATTTATAAATATGTAAACTGTGAAATGAGAGTGCTATGTCAAGTAGGATGACTCTATTCCATTTAACATTTGATATCAGTGTGTTGCATTGCTGTATAGCTGTGTGCTATACTGTTGTTGGTTTTATGTTAGAAATGAAATGTCAAAATTTCTTTTCTATTTCCACAATGAAAACACAAAGTCACTGTAGACTTCTGTGCCATTTTACTTCTGCCTTTACTAGAATTTGGCAGTCAATATTTTATCTCTTTAGATTAAATAATGCTGCTTTGGTTCATAGTACTTTAATATCCAGGCAAGGACTATATATAAAACCAGATCACTGTATAGCTATGTTACTATCAATTATTTTCCCTAAAAATAACTTTGTCTTCATATTGCAACAAAATACATCAATACAATTGCAATGTTAGCAATGGTGCATTACTGTAAATCCGAAATTCATGTTTTGATGGATGTTCTGAGAATGGGCAACTGGATCAGTAGGTGAAGATGTAAGAAATAAATGTGTCCAAGAAAAGCAAAACAGAGAATAGAAACAGAAATTCACAAATAAACAAGTAATATTGGCTGAACGTCTTCCCTGCTGCAAACAGTAGTATGCAGCACCCATCAAAGGATTCCCTTATGTGTACAAGTATATTCAGTATTTCTCCATGTAGAAAGAAGAGAGTTAGCTGCCTCTGATCTTGCAACTTTCAACGTGTCATTTTTGGTGAATTGTGTGGTATTTGGATTAATGAACAACAGTATAGTTCCCAGATGTGCAGATAATTTAAATACCTTTATACCAAAACCACATATCAAATTATTCAGGATTTCTCATGTACTAAACCCATTAATATTCAGATCAGCTGAATTTCGAATTCTGATATTCTTGATTCCAGGTGAGCTGCTCCGATACAAAATTTGGACAGCCGGTGCCACGTATTAAGATTCATGCAGTATCTGTATTGGTACAATATGTAATGTGAAAACCAGTGTGAACTAGTAATTCTTTGTTAAAATTGCAGGTGAACTACTGGAATTCAAATGTAAATGAGGTCCAGGGCGTTGTGATAGATCAAGAAGGGAAGGTGGTTCATCGTCTTTTTGGAAAGTGGCATGAAGGCCTTTATTGTGGGGTCGCACCTTCAGCCAAATGCATATGGAGGCCAGGTAAGAAGCTCGTAATAAACTGTGGCAGGCACTGTAGTGTAATCCTAAACTATGTAAAGCTGTTCTAGCCATCATTTTAAATACACAAAAACATTACTGGAGAAATTAAATTTCTGGTTAGACAAATAAACAAGAATTTACCTGAGTTTATAATAATGGTAAATGGAAATGTTCTTACAGGGCATAGTCTTCTACATCTCAGTTTGACTCCTGGTCAAATATTCTGGGGTGATGGGGCCAACATAAAAATAAAATTAAGAAAAGAATTGGATGTCTAGGCCTGCCTGCCTTCTCACAGAGGGCAGGGTAGCTTATTTGGATTCACCAAATAGGAGATGCCAGTTTACCGAGTTTGTTGTCCTAATGCTTTATTAGCCTAAAGCATTGGTCTGCAGAGATGGCGAGCTTCTGTGATTTCAGGAGCTGATTTCAACTTCCTTACTGCTTGCTTTGAGGCACTGAGGTTGAATTAGTCATCCTTTGCACCTATAGTACCTTTCATACATGCAGAGTGATTATCCAGGAATTATCATTATTGTTAGTATTTTGAACCCTACTTTGCACCCTACTCTGCAATGTCTACTCTGACTGCTGTTTGTGCTGAAGGTATTGGACAGTGCCAAATCAGTCTGCAAGTGAGCGTTATGTTCCAAAATTAACTCTGAAGATCAGTTAAGGTCAGCTTTTATACAGACATTTGATAAACCCACTTTCCGAGCAGCAGGAAACTATGTTTAACATAAAAATCTTGAAAACAGTAATTTTTACTTAAAAAGGAAGGAAGATCATAAAAGTTTTGAATCTTTTAGCACATAATTACAACCTCTGCAGGATAAGCACTTAAAATTAATATTTAGGGAATGTTATTCCACCTAGAGAATAGCTTTTGATGCTTTTTAATTGTATGTAAGAGTAAAATTATTAATATTTTTGCTGTTACAATTTAATAAATAATCTCTTGCATATTTAGAGTAATAGTTTAAAAAGCTTTTCTCTTTCTCATACATATTCATACAGGCTCCATGCCAACCAATTATGAACGTTATTACGGCTTCACGAGGTTTGCTATAGAGCTCAATGAATTAGATCCTTTACTGAAAGATCTTCTTCCTACAACAGATGCACGATTCAGGCCGGATCAAAGGCAAGAATACTTATTTATACACTTAATATTTGGTGGTTTTAAGGCTGGGTTTGGCGGAGTATTGAATTTTGTCTATGTCTTCACTACAGTCTGAACTAAGCTTTGGGGGGTTCTGCTAGCAGAGAAGGTATTCAGTATTGCAATCAAATTTCTGCTTTACCCAACTGAGGGAAAGTAGAAAGCATCTTGTTGGTATAGTAGAGCTATAGTGCAATCTTTGGGCAGAGGTAGGATTCCTCATAATAAATTGGTAAGACGGGCTCTGAAATGTCATGCCCTCCTGCTATGAATGGAAGCAACATTAATTCCCTCCTAATTCTCAGTTCATAGTACTTCAATGTTTGTGATATGCTGAAGTTACTAAAGAAAAGTGTATGCCTTAGGCTATAGGTCAGGTACATGTAACTGGGGAGTCACATCTCATTTATTCTTATTTTATGAGGTTATGACTAGATCTGAAAGTGGGTACAACACAGACAACAGGCTTGGCTTCTGCTTCTCTTTTGTGATGATTGGTGCTAGAAAATCCCTTGGGTTTAGATATTGTATGATTACTATAGGACCTGCTGTTATTCGTACAGGCTTCTGGAGGAAGGAAATGTAGAAGCAGCAGCATCTGAGAAACAAAGAATAGAGGAACTCCAGAGAGGTCGGAGGCGGTACATGGAAGAAAACAGCATTGAATATGTACCCAAATTTTTTAAGTGAGTCTATTCACTTGAGTAGTAAATCTCTTTTTTCTATAGTGTGACTGGACAAACTACTACAAGAATTACCACTAACGTAGTCTGTTCATCATGAAAGCCTGGAAAATGGCAATTTTAAGAAAAATGATCAGATACCTGATCTCTGCCTGAAGCGATTTTTACATAATTTAAAGCTTCATAATTGAAAGATCATTTTCTCACAAAGGGCAACAGCTATAGAAGCCTGCTGCACACCTTGGCCAACACTTTTTGAACTTTGAAGTGGAATAGAAGTATAATGCTAGGATCTAAGATTTAACTATGTTATTGTTTTAAGTAATTGCATAAACAAAGTAATAAATAGTGATCTGAACAACAAAATCATACATATATCTCTCTCTAAAATGTATGTATAAATGTATATATATACACACTTAAATTACAATTAATTTATTTTTGAGTGGAGGGTGGTTTTTTATTTGGTTTTGCTTTTATTTAAACATTCTTCTGAAACAAGGGATAGTCATACCAAATAGCCTGATGTTTAGCATGGGGAATCAAAAGGTAAAAAATTGAATGTGTGTGATGCAGTTTTGCAGTGGAAGATGAGCAAAATACAGAGGAGACAAACAATGTAAGAGGGAAAAGGCTTGCATTCTGCAAGCTAGATCTCTTGGTTGATCTCCTGGACATAATCAGAATCTGTAATAGCCAAAGAGGCTTTATGTGGCTCTAAGACCTGCTCACACAGATCAGACATATTTGTGATCTTGGCTGTTTTCTAAACCTTCCACTTTTGACACAGGTAGAGGTTGATTTATATTTTTAAATCCCTTGAATATTCTTGTGTCCTTTAGAAATACCAAATCAGATTTAGTATTGGGTTAGATCAGAGAGGTATGGGATTTGATTTCATATTGCGTAAGAGCAGAGATTTATGGTCAGAACTTTTTTTCCCCCTCTCTCTTTTTTTTTTTTTTTCCCTTTCTACAGAAAAGTTACTGACGCTAATCAAAGAGAAGCCTGGGTTACCAATGACACCTACTGGGAACTGCGAAAGGATCCTGGCTTTAGTAAAGTAGAAATTCCCGTACTCTGGTAAACTGAGAATGTAGATCTAGTAAACATATCACTCTGAAGAAAAAAATAACTATGCACAATATGTTTCTTATAGCTAAGCGTGGTTTGTGGGTCTACGGAAAAACCTCTCATTCACATTTATATTCATCTTTATAACAGACTTTTGAAAGTGCATTAGACCAGGCCCCTGACCACTTCTGGATCTTTTTAATTTTGCAGCAGCCATTAAAAAAAAAAAAAAAAGGAAAAAAAAAACCAAACGAAACAGAAACCTTTTAAAGTTTCATACACTGAAAATTCAGAACAAAAGAAGCAGATGAGTTATCCAAAGTCACTCCGAAGAGGTGGTAAATGCAAAACTGCAACCGGTGCTTTAAACAGACATTAAGAGTAATGTAATTTAATTTAAAAAAAAAAAAAAAAGGAAGAAAAAGAGAAAAAAATCCATTTTGTTTCAACTATTTTTGTTAAAAACTCTTGGGTCACAACACTGTCATTTCTGGCTTCAGGTTAGTCCTTTGGTGTGATGTGCTTGGACTGGCCTTTGTCAAAAAGATACGCTTTTCCGGAAGCTGTTCCCATTCATATGCCATTGTTCATGCCTTAAAATATGAAGATGTACAGTAAGTAATTTTAAAATACGTATGCTTAGGCTTGTGTGAAGGGCAGATTTTTAAACCACTAGAATTTTATCATGATATAAATATTGGAGAACCTGTATTATTTAAAATCAAAAGACAACCAAACATCTAACTGTATTTCAGAGGAATGACATCTACGGTACATGCTTTAGCTTTGGGAAGCTGACTGTGTAATCAGACTGAAAAGAAACTGCTAACTGGTTGAATTTGAGACAATTTTGGTAAATGCATATGAATGCTAGTCAGAAAGTTCATATTCTAAATGACTGATGGAATCATCACTTCTGCCACTGGCTAGACATAGTCTCACAGTGAATCTAATTTCCCCATAACTGTTTATACAATTAGAATTCCCTGAAGCTTTGCAACAGCGTTAAAAGCACAGAAAAATTTCACGGGAAGGTCTCTGGCTTCTCTCCAGAAACTGGATAGTACTGTAAATGCAACTATTTTCTGCCACACACACTGTTTGCTTTGCTGGCTCTGTTTTTTCCCCATCCCCTTTTCTTATCTAAATTCATATTTGAGAGTATGGCAGAGGCCTCCATGCATTGTAGCTAACAACTACTACTTGTGTTGCCAAAATAGCTTTTGTGCAAAATTATATTTTACAGTTTTTCATAAAGTGATTCTATATTTTTTGATTAAGAACCAAGTCTCTTATGTGTTGCTAAGCCTCAGTTATATATGTAGGAGAAGGCTTGGCACTTTCTATTTGAAAATCTCTGAAACATTAAACAGTAGGAGGGCAGATTTTAATAAAAGGCAAAAAAGTAATTTTATTAGGTAAAAACTGCATTCCATATGGTGTGATCTAGTCTTACATTTATGCATGTATTATACACCCAGGCACTGATGATAGGTTAGATTTCATGCATATACCCTGTATTGCTTTCTACACATGTACAGCATACGTAGTGCATTTGAATTTTTCTATTTAAGATTGATTCCAGTACTGAGACCTAACAAAAAATGATTCGATAGGTATGTGATCCTGCCGGCAGAGCTGCTTGAACAGTTCTCAGTAGATTACCACACATACCCAGCTCTCCACCTGCTTCTTCCTTTTGCAGAGTCAGGTCCCTACAGAACTGAGATTACTTCAATTATTTAATATGCATTTAGTTTTCCTCCTTGTTTGTATGGCAAAGCAACTGGCAGAGCAATTAGCTACTAATGAATTCCAATTTCTTCACACAGTTCTGTTATCAGGAAAAACTATGAAAACCTAAAGAAAATATTAAGTAGACTTTTTAAGAACTATGAGTGCTCATGAATTGCTTATGAATATTTGGTATAAAAAAAACTGTGTGCAGACTAACAGGACTTCTTCCAAAGAAAATTTTGAATTATTCAAAGAATGATACCTTTTTATTTCCCAGTTGAAGCTAGTCTGACTTTTTTTTTTTTAGTTCTGCAATTGCTATTATAAGAAAATGAAAAATATAGCAGTCTGGTTTTTTGAATCGTATTTGGTTAACTTCATCCTACTTGCTTTAATGGCATTACGCTATAAATCAAATTGGCACATTGTGTGCAAAATAGCAATTAATTATTCTGTGTCACTTTCCTTAAGAACAACATTATTAAACATTTGCCCACCTCGTGCTCCAGTCTTTGTGTGCAGTTCACTGTGGTATTAGAGGGCATTATGCAGGTATGACTGCAAGTACATTTGAGGGACAGAAACTGCATGTCCTCAAATTTTTTTGAAAGTTGGTATTTAATTTAAATACAGAAATAAGGTCTTTAGTTTTACAGTGTTCTGCTAGTGCTTTGTGAATGCCATTATTTGCAATGCAAACTGAAACTTGGTGAACACTAAAGATGCTATCACTTATTTAATTATTTTTATAATTGTTTATTTCACACTCATTGACAGAAAAAACCATTAACATTCTTAGAATTAAAAAAAAGTGAGTGGGCTTTCCACATCCCCTGCCAGTATACTCCAGAATGGGGTTTCCCATGTTGCAATGAGAATGCATTGTTGGCTCCTTTGTAACCTGGCACCCATTGTAAGTGTCTGCTGCTTTTTGGCAGGGCTGCTGCTCAGCTGTCCCTTCCCAGCACATGGGATTTTTCTACCCCGGGTGCAGACCTTTGCATTTCTATTGAACCTTGTGAAGTGTCTTCTGGCCCAGTCCTCAAGACGAGCAACGTCATTCTGATTGAAGCCATTTGGCATGCCATCTCATCCTCCTAATTTAATGTCATCTACAAACTTGTTAGCATGTAGTCTATGTCCTTGCCCAGGTTACTGGTGAGATGTTGACTGACGTGGGCTGCAAATTGACCCCTGCCGGCCTGTTCTTGTTGCTGGTTGCCAGCGGGGCATAAGCCATTGATCAATGCCCTTCAAGCCTGGGGATTCAGGCAGTTTTCAGCCCACCTCACTCCATTCATCCAGACAGCATTTCCTTTTGAAAGCCATGAAAGACACTTACTAACTCAGTATATTTAATTGCTATAGGTTTGGTATGTGATGAAAATTAGTGCAAATCATTTGACATTTAAAAACTTTTAAAAAATTTAAGAAGTTCTAACTTTCACTACAAAGACATATCCTTTGCTTTCTCCTGTGTTTTCTCAAAACACTTATTTCTGTATAAAATACACAACCCTTATGCTTTAGTTTCACAGTAGTGAACTGTACTTTTGATTAATATTTCAAAAGTGTACCTTAATTTGTTCCATGTTCTGGTATGCGGATATGATAGGGTATTAATAGCTATTTTCATCAAATGTAATGTCTTATAAACACCTAAATAGCTTCATTCATATTTTTAGATCTGTATTAACAAGATGGTAGATTTTTCAACATATTAGAAACCGTTATCTCACTGGGAGATACAATTCGAGTGTGAGTTGATTTTCGTACAGTATCACTGTGATTAAAAAGTCATCTAGACACCCATTCTAATTTTAGACAGATGTGAGTTGCATAAATAAACTTTTTTGTATTTGGCTTTAAAAGTAAGCTCCCACTATACTACTCTTTTCATCTTACAAGTAATGTTACCCTTTTTTTTTTCTCATTTTGAACTTCTGACTCTGAATGAGCTTGTACAGCATTTGTGGGTTTTACTTGAATAGCACATGCTAGCCATATGTTGAGTATTGCAGTACGTATACATGACACAGATTTGAAAGATATTGCCCTTAATTGCCTACTGAACACTGTCACAGCTTTATGGAAACAAATTACACAAACCTTAAGGCACACTAGGAGCCAGCGCTGGTCCTGCCCTCATGGGCGCCTGGTGAGGCGCTTGCATCTGGGCCATGCCCTCCATTTCCCGTGGAGGTGACACAGGATTTTCTCACCCTCGAACCAGGCAGAGTGGAGCCCAGTGCAGTGCAGTCTTGCTCATAGAGCTTCTCTTAAAAAAATCTTAATTTTTAGAAATACCCTGGAAGGGAGGGGAAGTTCATTTGCACTTGCACAATAACCAAGAGGGCTGATTATGCCAATGCTCGGCGAGTTTTGCAAAACTTGCTTTCACTAGCAAAGTTCTATTAGTGTAGGGTAGGTTTGTGTGGTCTCCTTGTTTTATAAGATTTTGAGTATTGTCTGGTGCGGAGATAAACACTAGGTCTTTAACATGCCATTGGCTGCAGTCATAATCTGAGGAATTAACTCTGTTTCAGATGTCATTACTAATACTGGAGCTGCATAAGGAAAGTAAAGGAGAGTTTTCAGATTAAATCCACCTGAAAGGAAAGATATTTGTATTCATATGTTAAAATGACAGGAAGGGTTAAGTTAGGGAGTTTGGCCCAGCTGGGGGAAAAAGACCAATAATGACAGAGGTGTGTAAGAAACACTGGAATGGCCTCACTGGTCACCGTGTTATACACAGACCTGGGAGAAAGCTAACAAAGTTTACTATGACATAACTACTTACCTTGGCAGCTACTGGGGCTGAAAATACTGTCTTGGGTTTTCTTCCTGGCTGTCATTAAGTAACAGTCATCAAAATTGTATAAAACTTGAATTTACTCTTTAGAGTGTATATTGATAAAAGTTGAGGTAGGCAGGGATACAGTGGCAACTAAGGTTTTTTTGTTAATGTGCTCAAAATTGTGAAGGTATATTTAGTACAAAAAGTAGTCTAATTTTGTGCTTTACCATCCCTGGTTACTTTTATTATAATTCTGGTATCACTCAGAAATAGCTTCATGGAGAAATGTCTTTTTTTTGGTTTTTCTTTTTCTTTTTGTCTTTAACAGAAGAATCTGGACAAAATGTGTTAATAAAGGTTTAATTATTCCTGGGGAGGATATCTCCCTGAGCTCCATGAGAGCAGTGAATGGCACCCACAAGAATGTTGCTAATTTCAGTAAGCTCAGAGAAATGGCTTATTTACAGCAATTTATTTAATTTTTGAATTATATATTGTAAGGAGCCTACTTAC